TTCCCATTTTAAGGAGATAGTCCAAAAAGGCTAAGTGACTTGCCTAAGGGGACACAAAGCTGACTCAGTCTGGCTCCTAAGGGTCAAAAATTATCTCCTGCATCATTTATTAAAACTCATGGTCCTGAATTTTAAGAACTCCTTAAATCCAACAGCTGTATTCTAATTCAGTTCTACTCAAAGGTATGATCCATAGACCTGCAGCATCAACATAAACTGGAAGTTTGTTAGAAATGCAATTCTTGGGTCCCACCCTGGACATACTGAATCAGAATCTCTGGGATGAGGGACAGGAGTCCAAGTTTTAACATTCTCATCAGGATATTTTTAAGCACAGTAAAGTTTGAAAAGCAGGTCTTTAGCTCACATTATCAACGCCAGTCAGGTAAGCTTTCCTTCTGTTTCTTACACTCACATCCACTTTGCTATATCTAGTTCAAATAACAGACAATTAGCTAGTTTTCATATAGTACTTGCTCTCCAATAATCTTTAAAAAACTCAAATTCTAAAACAGCGATTACTTAAAATGCATATGTGACCAAGTCCCTATCCAATTTAAACACTTCAATGGCTTTGACTCAATTAAAAAAGTCACACACCCCAACTCGGGGAAAATATACCGGCAAAAGAAATAAACAGGAGTTTCACAATAGAGAAGTACAAATAGTCCAAAAATGTGTAAAAAGATGTCCAACTTCATAGGTAACCAGAAAAGTACAAATTAAAACCCAATCAGATACCATTCCACACCTATTAGAATGACAAATTATTTCTAAATTCACATAATATCAAGTCTTAGTGTGGATATAGAACAATGAGACTTCTCATCCACTGCTAGCGGAGTCAAAATTGGCACAATTCCTTTGGAAAAAAGTTAGCATTACTTACACACACATTACACTGCAGTGATTCCAATCCTATGTTTATAACCTAGAGAAACTCTTGAACACGTTAACCAGAAGACATGTACAAAGATGTTTATAGCAGCACTATTTATATTAATAATAGCAAGCAATGGGAGCAATCCAAATGTC